TAGAGCTCCAGGGCCAGGGCAACCTGCAGAAAGGTACAGGGAGAGAGAGAGGACACACTACGGGAGAGAGGAGATACAAAGTTAGTAATGTGGAATGGTGGCATATAGAAGCATAGGGAGAGAGAGGAGAGGAGAGGAGAGCAGAGCAGAGCAGGAGGGGAGGGGAAAGAAACTCAGAGCATCATGGGGCCCCCCAGCAGCCTAGGCCTATAGCAGCATAACTAAGGGAAGGCTCAGGGTCACCTGATCCAGCCCTAACTATAAGCTTTATCAAAAAGGAACGTCTTAAGTCTAATCTTAAAGGTAGAGAGGGTGTCCGCCTCCCGAACTGAGACTGGGAGTTGGTTCCATAGGAGAGGAGCTTGATAGCTAAAGGCTCTGCCTCCCATTCTACATGACACTTCACAAAAGAAATAGCAAACTATTTTATTGTAGTTTTGTCAATACACATTTTGTATGAAGGCTCAATGGTAGTGTAATGGTATAATGTTAGCAATGTACATTTTATTCACAAATAAATTTTTTGTGTGTTTTTGACACTTTAAAGGAAAAATGCACACACACACATGCACGTGCACAGTCATACACACCCTGTGCAACCACCCACTCACTTATGCAGACGTTACAGCTCTTAATCAAACACTAGTAAACACTTCAACACTATTAAGATGCAAAAGAACGACTGTGCTTTTCACCCAAGAAGAAACGTCCTTTTCTGTATAATGATGACCATAGTTGACATGCAGGGTTCATACCATCCCTCTGTTCTTAAATGGTTCATTAAGACAGTGGTTTTTGGGACTGGTGTCATTTAGATCTCCTCTACCATCTCACAGGGCAATACACATCCTATGGCCTTGGAGGTTTTCAGTTTCATGCACTGAAGTGACACGAGCAGCTCTGCAAAAAAAAAAAACTCCAGGAGGAGTAATATTTGAGGACTGAATGGGGATTAGTTTCCTTTTACTCCTGAGCTCTATCATTACTTTAAATTATTGCTCTAAATTTCCATAATTGCTGGGTAAATTAGGGACTGTAGGAAAATTATCAGAGGGGAGGGCTATCAGGGTGTAGTTTTTACAGGGTGTTATTTTTCAGAGCAGATGTATATTTGGGTTTTTTTTCTATAATTGTGATAGATGGAACCTGGGTATGGAGGAAAATATTAAGCTTTGCAGTTCTATGCACTGTCTGTGCCTACTTAAATGAGTTATTGACAGTATTAACCTTTTTAAAGAAGCTTTTTGTTCAAAAATCTAGTGATCGCTACAGTGGCGAGAGCGCTGAATCCTAGCCACCAATTATTGTTAGAGTGAACAGCATTATTCTGTTCACATTTATGGCCTAATGGCAGTATATAGAAAAATACTGTATTTTTTTTAGCTCTAATCTTGTGTCCCTGTGCTAAGAAGTCATTTATTTCTTTTACATGCCAAATATGTGACCAAAAAAACATTTTATTTTAATATTTTTTCCAGTAAATCCTAAAAATATTTTTGATGATTCATCTTAACCTTCCATTATTTCAAATGAATTTTAGGGTTACGTACCAAGCTCCACCAATCACATAAAACTGCACTTGACAGTTAGCTAGTGGGGCTGCCAGTTGTATACTTTTTGAGATACTGGGGATTGCACTGGAGTTTTTTCTCAAGTGGAGGATCCAAAGAAAATATTAATAATGCTTGTGAGGGTGTTGCAAAAGTCAAACATAAGGTTCATCCCCCTCCTTACCCAGTAATTTTCAAACAGTCCCTGAGATGGTTGCCAAATGTTATGGAAAATAGTTTTCTCTATTCTTTGGATTTTCTTCTGATGTTTTTGTTTCACTTTGAAGGATGTGGAAGTATCAGTAAGTGTATTTGTCATCTTACATTAATGTCTAATTTCAATCTAAGTGCAGAAAATGGGAGTTTATCCAAAGAATTACATTAAATATCGCTGATGACATGGAAAATGAATCCTAAGTCAGACAATATGTTTGTTTCTCAAACACTAGAGGACAGTATTGGTCCACTGAAAGAAGCCCATAGGAGCCTGCCAACCTGCTGTTGATTTCCTCAAGAGAAACTCATCGCTTGCCAGGTTTACATTGATAACCTCCGTTTAATGGCCAAAATCAGAATACAGTAAGAAAAAGATGTTTTTGCCAGTTGTTCAAAGGAACAAGGTTTATTTGGAGAAGTGATGCAGAGTTTTGGTGAGTTTGAAAGTTTAGAAAACCAATTTTACATCCACTGTGTTTAATTAATTAAGTTCCTTGAGCAGAAAATTGGATTCTTATACCAGTAATTAACAGTTTGAGCTTCAGCAATCTGATCATGTTTACATCTGATCGAACCAGCTTAAAAGGACAGGGTTGGTTCACTTCATTTTGATTCTACTATTTGTTTCTGTAGTCACATGGGAAGCTTAGCCGTGGAGACCCAGGTCAAGACAAATACTTGTATATAATTGTTTTGTCCCAAATTATTATTTTAAAAGCATAAACCTATGCAGTTATACATAAGTCAATTTCATGGGAGCTCTCAAACTACAGAGTGCAAAAAAACTGCTGAAGCAGTAAGTCCCATCCACACATGCATGAAAGTGCATTCAACAAGAGTTTAAATGTGACATCATCCGATTTCACCTCTAGTGAAAAACCTTGCATTGAACCAGTTTTCAAATCTCAAATGGCCCTTTTTATTATATCAACACACAAAAATATATTGAATTGCACTTCTCTAATTCTTTTATTTCACAGAATGGCATGTAAATATGCTTAATAAGAAGAACATCACAGTCAAAACATTCCTTGTTACTTAGAGACACAAAGAGAGGTGCAGTGAGACGGAGGGACTGGTTCCTTTGATGATGATGGTGATGTCACAGTTCAGACTGAAGTGAGTTGCTGAAAACATGACTGACTGGTTGAGGTAACTGGGGCAGGATTCTGTGAGAGCAATAGAAACACATTACAGTTTGTTTTGTCTCCAAACCCGAGTTACAGGGATGTTGTTGAACCTGCCACTACGGCTGCTCCTCATGCCCAGGTACTGCCTGAGCAGCTGGTTCACCCGTTTCTGACTGTTCCATTTGCGGGCAGATTTCCGGACGCCTATGAACCCACCGTAGCGCTTTTGTAGTGGCCTCATGGGTGAGCCAATGAGCTTCCTGTATCCATGGCGCCCCCTCTGAAAGCCCCCAAAGCGTTTGGACAAGGTGACAACCTCTGAATTATCATCCTCATCCCCTTCCAGCTGGCTGTCACTCTCCACATTCCTCTCCTCCCTTAGCTTCCTCTCTTCATCTGCCAGACTGAGATCCAGGCCCTGCAGGCCCTGCCCCTGCTCAGAGGAGTCCAGCAGTGATGAGTCATACTGGACACTGTGCCGCTCATAGGATGTCTCATCCTGATCCCCCTCATGGAAGCGGTCTACAGATGCAGACTGCAGCAGTTCGCTGTCAGAGTTCAGGTCAAGAGAGGTCAGCTCCAACTCCTCTCCTGTTCTCTTGAACACAGTGCCTCCTTCAGGGAATGTAGGATAGTGTGACACTTTGACAGCACGTTTACACGCCTCCCATGTGAGCGAGGAGGAGACATGACCTTCACACTCCAGCAAACACACCTGCAGATGGACGAGAGTGATTTGTTAATGTAGTGCACACTAGAATTCATTTGACATCGGATCGATCCAAAAAATAAATAAATAAACACAATTCTGATCAGAATCCATTAATGTGTGTCAAACCATGGCAACCAGCCCCAGACCTTATCCATAGATTTACCTGCTCTTTAGTTAGACAGCTTAGTCTCTTGGTGTGTAATTTCTAAGTACCAGGTCCAGTACTTCATTATGGCCACAGAATGAAAGACACTGGCACATGAGAGTATGTCCTGACAGACAGCGACACAAAGGCCTGCAGAAACACACAGTGGCCGTGGCAGCAATAGCAATAACAAGTAAGGGAGTGAGGTTTGGAATTTTTCTCTTGCCAAAAACACATCATGTTTGAGTCCTTCAAAGCATAAATCCATGACAGAATCCCCAAAAAAACTCACGATACAGGAGACTGGGCACAGTGGATCAGACTGAAAGCACATAGCACTAAGCAGGCACCCGACAGTGTAAGGGAATGTATTTTTATAGGCTGTTTGGAACTGAAAACTGAAATACCCCCACTGAGAGTACAGATTATCAGGATGCTGCACACAGCAGTGTAGCGCGGTGGGCTATGTGATCAGGCAACTGCCCGTCAAAACTGATCACTAGTTTTAGGTTAAACCAACAAAACCACTGATACTAGGTGCATGTGCAGGTGCATGTTAACAGCTACACATTGGCAGCCATGTTAACCTCATTAACATTTCTAAATCTTTTTTTTTTTTTAATAGCTGCTGGCTGCAACTACAAAGCAGCTGAATAAAACTGAATGTTCTGCAATTATATATTTATTTTTGTCACATTCGTTTTCTATTTTTAATTGTATATATTGTATGTGAATGCATAGTTTGCATTGTATTATTTTATATTGTTCAGTGTTTTCATTTATTTATGTTTTGTTTTCATTTCATTTGCTTGTAAAATTCCTTTTATGCTCAAACATACTCGGCCATTAAAGATGATTCTGATTCAAAACAGTTAAACTGGCAGCAAAATCAAAACAATGAACTGAAAGATGCTAAAATGCTTCGTAGAACGGAGGGGAACCTCAGAGTTGGTTGCTAATCCTCTGTGGGTTCCTCACCTCAGCTGACTTCTTTTACAGTGCTCAAAGCTATTTGACCCACTGCTCAAATAAAAATATTGATGAGTGCATCTTTAACAATACTAAAGCCCACTCCCTCCTCATGAGTAGTCAGTCGGTGAGTGCAGGTGATGTTAAAGACTCTTGAAGAACTTGATACACAGTACACTATGTACTTTCACCTAATAGGTCTTCCACGCCTCATGGCACAATTGCACTTTTTTAGCCAAAAGGCATTATGACTGCTTTATGACCAGACCCAGGCTGAGAAAGCAGCCCCTTAACCCAGGTGGTGTGTGTGAT